CTAAAACCCCACAGTGCCCCACGCATACAGCACTCCACGCATACCCTAAAACCAAAAGCCCTATAGACCCCAATACACCCTAAACCGCACAGCGCAGCACTCCACGTATACAGCACACCACGCACCACGCGTACTCTTAAAACGAAATCACCGACCTTAAAACGAAATCACTGACGCCATGCATACTGCACACACACCCTAAACCCTAAACCCTAAATAAACCCTAAACTCATTAAACGCTCAAACCCCCTACAAACCCTAAACCGCCCACAGCCACATGCGCCGCACCGCGCATGCGGATCACTGCGCAAAAACGTCGCACACAGCGCCCCACGCATACAGCACACCACGCACCTCGCGTAATCTTCAAACGAAATCACCGACGCGGCACACACACACACACACACACACACACACACACACGCACACACGGGCACACGCACACACGCACACACGCGCACACGCGCACACGCGCACACGCACACACGCACACACGCACACACGCACACACGCACACACCCACACACACACACCCACGCACACACACACACACACTGGTATGTGTGTCACTCTCGTGGAAAGGAATGTAGATGTAGATGCGTAATGTCACACTTGATACGAGATGGTCTTGACATTCGAAATGCATACTGGTGCTAGACATTCTTTGTGGACTCATTGACCTTGGGGTACCTTCGGGAAGTACAACAGCGAGTATGGCAGCAATGTACAGCGAGTGCGAGGATCAACATATCACTTCTTGTCACAGGTACACAGGGTTGATCAGACCCTGCTTCCAGCATCAGTGGATAGCTTCGTTGGGTGCAGTTTCCACTGTGCTCTGCACCCCCCTTTGATGCACTGAAGCTCACACACACACACACACACACACACACACACACCCACCCACCCACCCACCCACGCACGCACGCACGCACGCACGCACGCACGCACGCGCGCGCGCGCACGCACACGCACACGCACACCCGTGCACACCCACACGCGCACACGCGCACACGCGCACACGCGCACACGCGCACACGCGCGCACGCGCGCACGCGCACACGCGCACACGCGCACACGCGCACACGCGCACACGCGCCACACGCGGCACGGCGCGCACGCGCGCACGCGCGCACGCGCGCACGCGCAAACGCGCGCACGCGCGCACGCGCGCCGCGCCACACACACACGCACACAACACACGCACACACCCACACACCCACACACCCACACACACACACACACACACACACACACACACACACACACACACACACACACACACACACACACACACACGCGCACGCGCACGCACACGCGCACCCGCACACGCACACACTGACCTTGCCTGGATAATATGTTTGTAATGAAGATGAGATGAAAGTTTTATACCATGTGTTTCAGACCACAGGAATGGCACACGAAAACGAGATGAGATGATCCTTCAGGGGTAAAGTTTCGGCCCCTGCGGCTACGCCAGACACGAAGGAATGACGTAGCACGAACTGAGATGAGGATGAATGAAATGAATGTCCCGCCAGCTGCCCAGGCGCAGACAAGCAGGTACGTTTTCCTGCTGGGGTGTCGGGAGGAGCTTCGATGGGCAGAGCCTGTTTCCACACACACACACACGGCCCTCGAAAGGGCCAACTCATGCAAGGACTGCAGACATGTTTGCTTGCACTCGCAGACAGGCATGAAGTGATGCACATGCCCTGGCGCTCGCACTGCCTAAAACCTGTTTGACAACCCCCATGGAAAACGATAAAAAGGGTTTTGAGTGAGCCGCCACTTGGTTTCGAGTGGATGCGGGTCCTGTCCACGAAGTGGTGGATAAGGGTCCAGTCCACCCTTTGGAAAACAAAACCTCTGCGGCAGGTAGTTTGAGAGCGAGAAGGGAAGGGGTGGTGAGCCTGCCCACACCCCCGACAACCTGACAAAACACGACCTCAGGCGGGAACATACATCAGCTCGACACCCGTCAAAGAGACATCGAATCAAAACCAAGACAGAAGGAATCGGGAGGAAACCCTTGGCTCGCACGGACCGTCACATCCTAAAAGTTTCGGGCGATCGTACCTCCAACTGGAGGCTCGGCTACCTGCCGTTGGCGGGCGCCCAGGAGGGAAAGCCCAAGCCAATCACACACTGATTGTGATTATGTGGAACTGACCTTGCCTGGATATGTTTGTAATGAAGATGAGATGAAAGTTTTATACCATGTGTGCCAGACCACAGGAATGGCACACGAAAACGAGATGAGATGATCCTTCAGGAGTAAAGTTTCGGCCCCTGCTGCTACGCCAGACACGAAGGAATGACGTAGCACGAACTGAGATGAGGATGAATGAAATGAATGTCCCGCCAGCTGCCCAGGCGCAGACAAGCAGGTACGTTTTCCTGGGGTGTGGGGAGGAGCTTCGATGGGCAGAGCCCCCCTCCACACCCCCTCTGAAGCCTTTCCAGGATGAACATACCTGTTTCCACACACACACACACACACACACACGCACACACACACACACACACACACACACGCACACACACACAAACACACTAACTAACTGGCAAACAAAACTAACTAACTAACTAACTAACTAACACCCGACAAGAACCACCAAGCCGCCAACATGCGTTTCGAGCGCCCGCGCATTCACCGTGTCGCACATGCACTGCACATGTATGCATGCACTGCGCCACACATATGCCCCGCACCAAGCATACAGCGCATCACGCGTGCACTGCACGACAACACAATACAACACAGTCCGACGTCACCTCATCATGCATACAACAGCGCACCACACGTATACATTGATTGATTGCACAGCTCAAAACACCACGCCACGAATTCATGCATTCACCGCACCAAGCGTGTACCACCCCACGCATTCACCGCACCACGCATACGAAGATTTTTATAACAAGCAATATCTATCAAACGGTGTTGCATGGTTGCTAGATGGGCTTCATGTATGAAATTGTATGAATGCAGTATATGAAAGTCATGCATGCGCTTGAGGACGGATGAGGATCGTAAAGTACTTTTGCTGTTAGATCAGTGGATCATTTCATGCGTCTATAGCAGGTTCTGTATCGTTACTACGAGTAGATGGGATTCATGTATGCAGGGCATCACTCAGGCCAGACACCCTTTTATCTCCCACCCACCCATCCCCTTGATCTTCATAGCATATGAGATGTAAGACGTGATGCCACAGCATCACTCACTTCGCTCATTTACAAACAAGGTGACACGAAGTTTCGTGTTGCAACATATCTGCTCGCAGGGATATATGCTCGCCATGCGTGCGCGTTAAGGATAGTCATGCGCGCACGCTCGAGAAAGGACGATGGTCGCAAATAGATACTGTTGCTGCAATATTTGTTTTTGTATGCTATTTGCATCGTTTGGTAGGTGGGTTTCATGTATGGACAGATATATGGTAGTCATGCGTGTGCGATCGAGAAAGGAAGAGTATCGTATAATACTTTGCTGTTATATCGGTGGCTTCATGCGTCTAAAGGGTGCTGTATCGTTACTAGGAGTAGATGTGTTTCATGTATGCACAGACATATGTTAGTCATGCGTGCGCGTTCGAGAAATGCGTGCACTTTCGGGAAAAGAAGGGGATCGTAAAGACTTTGCTGTTATATCTCTGATTTTCTGCGTTTAAAAGGTTTTGTACCGTTGCTAGTTGGGCTTCATGTATGGACAGATACATGGTAGTCATGCGTGCACGTTCGAGAAGGGAAGAGGATCGTAAATGCTTTGTTGTCCTATTTGTGGTTTTCTGCGTCTAAGCGGCTTCGTATCGTTGCTAGATGCTAGATGGGTTTTATGCATGGACAGATGGCGCGCGCTTGACAGCGCAAAACACCACGCCACGCATGCAGCGAAGCCCGCAGTCAATATGATTCAATGCACCATGCGTATGCCACACCGCGCATTCTCCGCACCTACACCTGCGCCACGTATACACCACACATGCACCTCGTCATGCATATGCAGCACCACACATATACCACACATACACTGCATATGTACTGCATACACCACGCACGCCACAAGTACACCGCGCATGCACCATTGCACCATTGCACCACACCCCACCTCGTTGTATGCGACACGACGCCACATCACCACACACCCTCTGCACAAACACCCACCACACCACACTTGACCACACCACACCAGAATACCACCGGGTCGATGGTGACCGCAGCGTTGCAGTACCGCATAGGACCAGGATACGTCGAAGGGCGGACCAAGCTCACTCACCATGAAGTCTCGCACAACCTTGCTGGTTCTGGAGGGAAGTCATCCCAGAAAGCTCACCAAGAAAGGCTTGCCATGGGCTCCTTCCCCAAAGGGCACTGCAAGCCCCACCAGTCTCCCACAATCCAGTTGTACGAGTGGTTATGCACACACGGCCAGCTGAGCTGCCTTTCGTGCCGGATAAATGGGATGATCGGCGGCTAACGAATCGTATCCCTAGTCACCAACTTCCGGCTATCGACCAACTAAATCCAGCCAACCAACCAACCAACCAAAAACACACACACGCACAGACACGCGCACACCTGCGCAACCATACGCACACGCGCGCAAGCAATCGCAAGCACGTGCACCCACGCATACACGCATGCAACCAGCGATGTAGCATCTGCTACGCAGTTGTGGCTCCTTTTCTTCAAGCTGCGCTTGGCCACACGACTGATCACGACTTGGCCATCCTAAGACTACGTAACAGTAACACTTGTGTAACACTTTTGCAGCCATTGATGCCACTCAATCATTTCTCGAGTGGGATCTCTGGGGCCAGCTGCACTTGCATGGGTGCAGCGATGCTGATGGTATTGATTGCATGAGGAACAGTGCAAGTTGGCCCTGCAGCATGTCTGCTCTTCGGTCATGGCCGCTGAGAGCGCATTTAACTGCATTTCTCGTAAGCTGCTCAGCCAGCTCCTGACTACAAGCTTGTTCATTGCGCCTGGCTTCACCCATCTTCTTCCTGAGGGTTGTGGGTCTTTCGCATGCGGGGCAATATTACTGATGGAGCATGGCGGGTTTGCACGGTCATGTGCAGCTTCCGGTGCCTCGAGAGGAGGACGGGGTCGACGAAATCCGGAGCCCTGAATCGTGCGAGGAAGGCTAAGGGAAAGTGGGTTCGCATGGCGCATGGGTGCACTCTGCACTCGCTCAGTTTTGCGGAACAATCGCATATGCAACACTTGCTCAGTATCTTCTGCAGCTCCCTGGCAGCTTGCCTTTTGGCGCCGTTCCTGCAACATTTCCATTTACGCTACCAGTATGAACCGGACTTGTCAGCTTTGTGTCCTGATCTCGTTCTCGCATCTCTTCGCCGAGCGCGGGATCAAACTGGCAATCGCAACATGTCGCATGTCGGCAAGTCTCGTTCAATGCACAATGGACCCACAACAGACCAAAAATGAACTTGCCTTGCTACTATGGCTGACATAAGTAAATTCATTCAAGCACTGGTGGTGTATCCATTGCTGAAGTTACACCTGTGGCCTTCTGCAAGAGTGTGAACACGTAGGCAGGCCACTTGCGTACCGAGCTTCTGTCCTTCACCAACCGTTTTCTATTAAAGCAACCATGCCGAATGCAGGTTGCAAGGAATGGAAGCAGCATTGCCCGCAGCTCACTCACTCCCATCCAGACTGAGGTGGGCAAGGTCCTTGGAAGAGGTGTACTTCAAAATCATGTCCATGGCCTGGAGAGCCACTTGCGCTTGGTGCTTGCAAGGTACAGTAACGGCATGTGCTCTTCTAATTGTCTAGTTAATCTTGCTGAATTGCCGGCAGAATGCGTGAATCTCAAACGCCACATGCCTCTGGTCTTATCTCTTGGCTCTTGGCCTCTTGGAACCGTGACCCACCATCAGCACGGTCGCGGCTGCGAAGCCTGTAGTCGCTATGGTCAAACTGGGGATGTGTGGGAGGCATGGCTGAGATTGGCTGACTGAAGCTGAGGAGTTCAATCTTCTCGAGGACTGCACTCGGCGACAAACTTTTTGGCTGTGAAGTCGAAGTCGCTGATCTAACAGGCTCAAGTGGGGTGATGGAACCACCCTGCACAAAAAATCGCCCTCACCAGTGCAGATTCCCCTGTGTCACTCCCCGTCCCGCTATAAATGCGCTCGTTTGTTTTGATAAGTGTGCCCAATGTTGTGTTGCACGATTTGTACTCCCTGATTTAACTTCGACATGATGATGATGATGATGATGTGTTTGCAGATGTAACCGCTACCCAATCTTTCCAACATGTGTCCGCTTACTTAAGGCAAAAACATCATCTTTGTGCAGCATGATTTTGTTGCTAACCATTGTCGTTGAAGAGAGGTGCCTTGGTCGCATCTGTCTTTTTGGAACAATGAAACAATCGGAGCTTCCGTTGAGGGTTGGAGCTCGAGGTTGAGGTTGCTCATAGTCCCTGGGCAGCTTCCCTGTGGTGCAGGTTCAGCTGTTGCACTTGCGGAGGGCCTTGCTGAGCCTTGCTGGCCTTGACATGCCTTGGCCAGACGTGACCAAGCATCACACAAGGATGTTGTCTGATTGTCCACTGCTGGCAACTCCTTGGCGAGGAACTGGAAGACAGCTGTAACCACAGGATCGTCTCCAGGTGGCTTCGCAAATGGCTGTGGCTCTTGATTCCTGATGCTTATCGCATCGCGTTTCGAATGTCGAGACGGGGTGCAGGCCTTCAGCCTTCTGTCGCGAAATTGTACTGTCGGTATGGAGCTGCATGGACCTAGAGGGCCTGGATTTATACCAACCCTAAACCCTAACAAGCACTCAGCATGTGGTGCGCCAAGACATCCAGGCCTTGAGCGGGCCATCCTGGCCAGAAAGCGCCTGCAAGCGGAATCAAGCGGCAACTGGGTTCATCTGCTCGGGCCATCTCGGGCCATCTCGGGCCAGTCTCACTCCGGGACTTCTGAGAGGACTGTGGGCGACGTCAGGTCTTGCATTCTGGAGGGCCGAATTTGAACAGAAAGCTTCATTCCAGCCTGTTCAAGAAGGTCCTCCACATCAGCCATGGGCACCTTGCCCTTGCCTGTCTCTGCTACTGGTAGGCACGAAGAAGCCGGCAAGTTGCAGCGCTAACACTATGAAACTGGGTAGCTTTCAGCTGTCCTCCTCGACCTTTTCCTTTGGTACGATCTCGGCTGTCACGATCGCGGTTCGAGTCGCCTTTGCCAGCTGATGATTCAAGATGGCAGCTGTTTTCGGTAAGGTCCGATTCGGGCTTCCAATGGCTTTAATTTCTACTCGGATCCGATTCGAGTGGTCTGCATCCTAAACAATGTTCTTAGGCCTTTCTTCTGATGCTAAGGAGGGTGATGGTGTAATTCGCGTTTTTTCCACAAGTACCTTACATGAACTTCATGTTGGCTGGATTGAATCATTCCCGCATCTGCCCCTCATGCCGTGTGTTGTCCCGGCCAGAGCAGTGTTTCCGGGCTGCAGGCCTCGCCCATCACGTCCGTCACCCTTGTCACCCTTCTCGCCTTTCTCACGGTCTCCCTTGCCTTTTCCTATCGGGGCAAGTTCCTGATTTGTGGCCCATCAGGCTACAGCGGCTAGTTACAAACATGTGCATGTTCGAGCTGCCGCAATGTCCTCCATGAGCCAATCGCACTACGATGTGGCCGCCCTCAAAAGCCTTGTTGTGAAAGCTGAGGGCCTGGCATGCCGTTGGTTGTGCGCTTCATAGGCAAAGCATACACAGGTCAGCCAACATTCAAGCTAACACCCAGTACGCATCGTTCAACGCATTTCAAAGCGAGATCGGAGCATGTTGCTGCCCAAGACTTTTTGCATCCTGCCAACATCTGCCAACCACGGTCTTGCCACCACCCACATTGGACCACTTCTGTGATGGCACAGCACATTGGGCCACTTCTGTGATGGCACATGCCATGGCGCTTGCATAAGGGCCTTAAGCAAGCGCGTTGGCTTGAATTCTGAAGGCACCCACCGCCGTCGGAGGTGTTCAGAAGCATAGTCGGACGATAAGATGCAGCATCACACTAATATGAAGCCAAGAAGGACTCAAGCCTACTAATCAGGACAACACGACAGCGCAAGTACCTGCTGCAATGAAACTCAAACGGCTTGTATGCGTCTTGCGAGCAGCAGCTTGCAAAGCAGATTGCTCTTCTGATCTTGTTTGCAGATTTCCTTTGGACTCCGTTTGGCGACCTGGTCTTGCTTTCTTGGCATTGCGGCTTGAGCTTGCAACTTGTGCAGTTCTTTGTCGCAGAAGCAGCTTGTCCACGGCTATAGTGAAGGACTTGCCATGCCTGAAGGCAAAGGCTGGCAACAGATCCTTAACGCACCTGCAACCGGCTTTTCATCTTTTGCAAGGCTGTCCTGCGTGCCAGCCGAGCACAGCAGCATGTTCTCGTGCAGGAATACGTGGTGCAACAAGCTCTGGCAGGTTTCTTGGCCCACTCCCTCGGTTGGCCCTGTAGACTTGGCTGACCCGCAGCAAGTATACGACATTGCAGAGTAGACGAACTTGCTGTGCACAAAAAGTCCTTTGATCCAGAACGACAATATCTGACGCACGTCTGGTCGTGTATCCTGAAATGCAAACCTTGGTTGCTCTAGCGGCTACACAGCATTGGTGCGTGGCGCCTTCTGGGCCTGCTCCTCGGTGCGGAACGTCACAAAGCCGATGCCCTGTCATGCCAATGAAAACTCGCTCCAAGCTGAAGCGAATCTTTCATTTTCCCAAGCTGGAAGAAGCTGGATCCTAACGGTGTCATGGCGATTCATGGTGCAAAGGCATGCAAAGGCATAAGCCAACTTGGCAACATGGACTGCGGAGGTGTCTAAGGTCGATCAACTTGATAATTGCTCTTGGGCACGGGTTTTGAGGCCTTGGAACTGCCGTCAGGGTTCCGCAAGACCTTCAGCCGCTCGACCTGCACATGCTGTTTATTTAGTTCACCTCGCCCCAGCCGTGCGTGCCACATGCATTGCACCTCCCACCCTCCCGCCCCCCACATGGATGGGACTGCGCAAGAGTGCGCGGGCACTGTCCTGATATGATTGGAGGCTGCCCACGGCCACCAAGAAACCCAAGGACCGTCCAATTGTGCTTCAGTGATTGTTGTTTGTCACTTGCACATCACTATCACGTCTGCGACGAAGGCTCCAAATTGCAGAGTTCTACAGGTGCGTGGCACGATGCCGAATGCCAGCTACGAGTACTCAGCTACCTCAACTAGTCCAGGCTACACTAGGCTGCTGCTTTCAGGAGCTGCCGGCGGAACTTGAGATAAGGAGAAAATGACGGTGCTCGTGAAGCCATCGTTGGTTTGCGCCTCTCCAGCATCCTCAAAAAAGCTCCGAAGCTCGTCCTTCAGTCCGACAGTGCTGCGGCCATAGGGCAAATCGAGCAAGCAGGACCAATGAAGCCGGCGATTCGTCAATGTCCTCATGAGCTTCCCCGATGTTTGCCACGAACACCTGCAAGAACATGCGATGTAAGGTCTCGGGCGAGGTTGTCAAAGCGCAGGCATCGAAGGCAGGCAGTTTTGTCGAATGTCGAGGAGCAGTTTCCATGTAAGGAGTGCAGGGGTCCCTGCTTGGCCTGCTTGGGATCTGCTTCACGAGGCTCCTCGCCGACAAGGCCGCGAGGTTGCGGCACGGGCAGAAACTGTCACGCCATGAGAAGAAGCCGGCCTATGCCTAAATGTGCACCATTACTCGAAATCACTCGAAGCAAACCACAACGTTCTCTGAGCTACGTGAAGGTGCCCGAACTGTCCAAAATTCGAGGGTGCCCCATGGCCACTACATGTCGTCACATTCTGCTGGTGCTTGTGTTGCGCGCTTCCAAAGATTCCAAAGCGCCATCGACTGTCCTTGGATTTTCCTTTGTGAGAGTCTTTGCCATCTCTCGGTTCCCTGCCTTTTCCTTTGTGTCCTTAGAACTTGAGAAGGGCTCACAATTGTGATCACTTCTGCGTTCGACTGCGCTTGCTTCTCATCAACCTTTTCGAGCTAGGCGGCCGTTACCAAAGCTGGAACCAAAGTCAAAGTCGCGTTCCCGGTCCAATCCTTGGCGTTCCCATGGTTGCACTGGGCATTGGCACCGGCAGCATTTCTTCTGTCCGCCGAAGGGCCGAAGTCTTTCTCGAAGCCTGCGCATGAACTGACGAATGTGAAAGCATTTCATGACAGCTTTTTGACTGCTTTCTAGATCCAGAACTGCATACATAAGCGGGGGTCGGGTGTTCTGGGTATTTCGGTTAAGAACGATTAGTCGGATGGGCCTGGCACGATCAGCAGGCCAGCACATGTCGGCACACGATGTGATTTCGTTTGCCGAATGCATCTTGATCATCTATTCAGTATCATGTTTCGATCCTTGGAATTGTCGACATGGCATGTATTTAAATCAGAAGTCCAGCTTTGATTCTTTTCGGGGGGGGGGGGGGATGTTGCAGTGCTTAACAAGGGTGTATGCAGTGTAAGCTGGGATAGGGGAAGGCCATGGTAGGCAGGCCCAGCGCAGTGTTGTCCCGGGAGGGGAGCAGGGCGACCAGGTAGAAGATTTAGACATGGGATTTGGGATTTGGGGTGCAAATTGCTGAGAACGTGTGCGGCCCGGGGCCTGGGTCGCACTAGTCAGAAACGCAAGTCGGCGGCGAGCCGACACACACTGCTGGAAAGAGCACGCGGCGTGGAATGCCGGAGAACAGCCGATCTGGGCAGTGAAAGAAGGACTGTCAGAGATAGGCAGTCTTGGAACTGACGTACTAGACGGACGGACCTGCAAGCCCAGGCTGAACAGGAACCGTGCGCGATCTCATATCCATTGACGACGGTCAGCCTGTGGCACTTGCTCTCTGGCGACACGTGATCAACGGAGTGCCATTGGGCTTCTCCACGCCCATTCCGCCTTGCCCCGTGATGGACCCTGTCAGGTCGCATCCTCGCCATTGCCCATTGCAGCACTGCGAATCCGAGGGGAAATCCGCACTTCATCACCATCCATCACCATCCATCACCCCTAGATGGTAGATGACTTTCTCCAGGAGGAGCTCGCGCAAGGCTGGATTCGAGAGATAGTTGGTAGGGGGAGACTGGGTGTCGCCCTCTTGTGGTTGATAGCTCGATTTCGGGCGTCACGTCTAACACTGCCTTGCCTAGTCTGCCAACCCGACCCCGATGCTTGCAGGTATTGAACTAACTAGCAAATTCCGTTGTCGTCGGCCTCTTTGTTGACGAATGGAGCTCTGTGGACTGCTCTGGACCTCCCATTAACCTCACGCCTCTTACTCCCGTGATGCCACACCCCTCTATGTGCGAAGGTACTACATGGGCCTCCCATGACGATAGGGACGCTCCGGACTTCAGGGACTTTCAACTGTATGGACTTGGAGCATCTTGGAGCCTGACCGGACCGTCTGCAATTCACCCCTACATGTTGACCAATACGCAGCCAGCGTTTGCCTGTTCTGAAACCACGTTCTCAGAGAGACTTCAAGACTTTCATAGCTGGTTGATTTCATTGACGTATACGGACGTGACAAGACGAACTACTCGATTAATCAAATACAACGTTGGCCACAACTGGAATGATGCCACAGCATCAGCATCTGCACCACCAACGCCCGCTTACGCTGCCAAAACAACACATTGCATCAAGCAGCTGGACAGAGATGCTGGAAAGTGACACTGCTACGATCTGCTCGTGTGCGGGATCTCAGCCATGCTCCGGGCTCCTAAGCCCAACAAACCTCATTGCTGCCATCAGGAATGGTGAATCAAACTGGTTCGGTCACGTGATTGCCTAGGCCGAAGTCGCTGAAACTCTTCAGGTCTTTGCCCTGGGAATCTCCACCTGGCAAACTTCACCATGAATGCTTCACTTGCGTGAACGAAAATGAATGGCCACCTAAGCCAAAGTCAAAGTCCAGTGTATCTGTGGGCTCCTTGACTTCCCGTGGGCCTGATGCACTTGTGGAACTTCTCAAGTTCAGGTGAACCGACTACCGCGCGCATTTCGCCCGTTTTCAATTCTTGAAGCCGCTGTCGAGCTGTCTGTGGTCATGCTGGAACTTGCCAGGAAGTCTGGGAAGTGTGATACAAGGTGCAAATCAGAATTACGAGCGCCGCCAGGATCTTGATTACATCAGACCTTCGTAGGGCAACAGCTATCTAAGTCAGAATTGGCAACCAAAAAGGAGCCAGGGAGCTGACGCTCGGAGTCGAAAAGGCCTGCGGCGGTTGCGGCATGTTGCAGCTGTCCTGCTTCTTTGCGAAAGTGCTTCGCCTTTGGTGATGGCGCCAAACCACATAGAGCAGCACGGCAAACACCTTCAGTTTATTTCAGTTTCTTTATGAAGGCGTGTCTTCCAAGCAGCGCCCCACTGAGGCCGGGGCTAAAGCAATCCATCCCAACACCTCCAGTGGGTTCAGCTCCCTGACAGGAGACGAAAGGAGGAGCTTGGCACATGCACCAAGTTTTACGTTTTCTCGCTGTCCGTATGTCTAACATTGTCTAACCTTCAATGATTCCTCATTGTTTCTGTGAGGTGGGAATACTCGACAGTGACAATCGCGAAAATGCCGGATGAAGCTCGCTAGGCTCCACACGTAACCAATCCTAAACGCTTGCGTGCCTGCCCGTGGTAAACGTACGGTACGAACCGTGTTGATGTCTCCATGGCCAGTATCCGCTGTGGGATGTTTCAGGACTGCAGTCTGCAAACTTGTTACGACGCACTGCACAAGAGTGATCAAGAGTGTATGTAGGGTGCAAGTCCAATGGCGTGTCCCTGTTCGCGCCTATGCCCTCCAAGTGTGCGGTAGTGGTACACGACGAGCAGCCATGTCAGGGACCATGCCTGTCGAGAGCAACACAATGTCAAACAATGTGTGAAAACTCTCAAAGCAGATTCGAGCCGCGCATTGTCATGTAACACGGCACTAAAACAAATGGCAACGAAGCGTCACACTATGTCACACGCCACTTTGATTGGACGCGAATTGGCGCAGTCTTCAACGGCTAGGGTGCTACTGTAGGCATGCTACTGTAGGCGCCGTGACCACGAGGCGACCCATTTGGCATTAAATCATTAGCATTGGAAGCCTTGGGGGGAGGATCAATTTTGAGGGCCGGCCTGTTCTTCGAAAGAAATCCGAACCCTGTTGCTGTCATCTTCGGCTATATGAAGAAGCCGACGCTTCAGCCCACCAGGATTAGGAATCCCCCCTGCCCCCTTCCGAAGCTACCCCAAAAGAACCATCCATCTCGTCCAAAGGGGGAACAGCAGCCCCAAGCAGCTCACCAGTCCCCGGCAATTCCAAGAAGCCCGAGAGAACAGAAAAGATCCAAGCAGAACTGTCCAAGGGCTTTTCTGGCAGAGATAGCGTACGGCTCTGATTGCAGTTACAGGGCCTAGAGGGTTTAGGGCCTCTTTTGAAAGGGGGTATAGCTGACAAGTTGAAGCAACATCTTCGGCCTTGAGCCAGAATGTTCAGGGTTGTGTTTGGGTCTCCAAGGTCGGGGTTCGGTTTGAGGTTTCCAAAACTTCCAAAGGCTTTGTGGGGCTTGCCACGCCTCTCAATGGATGGGAAGTGCTCAAAGCCATTGGCTTCGTGTGGCCGCTTGAGCTGGTTCGGTTTTTCAACTGCTTTGGGGATTCGCTTTGCAAAGGCAAACTGGGTGGGGGGGCTCGTTTCTTGGCGTGGGTCCGCTAAGTTGGCTTGGTCGCCTTGCGTTTTGCTGTGGGTCCAGTCATGTTTGGCTTGCACTCTCGCACGCCTGGCTTTGCATGCCATTTTGGCCATCAACTGATTTCAGATGATGTTCACCAATGTTCACCACTGAACATGAGCTTCTGAGTTGGGGTACTCTTGTCTTAAGATTCCCACCAGCAGGATGAAGAAGTATCGTCTCGGACTAGTCGTCACCATCCTTGGATCTTCTGGAAGCTGCAAAATGCTCTGCACATTGACATACACAGGAGTTTCGAACTGAGACGGCAGACTCCAAATTGTCATCCTGCAGTTGTCACAGCTGCTCGGGATGGCTCTCCCTTGACCAGGCCTTGCCCTCAGGGTCAGCTTGCGGGCTTGCAAACAGGCTGCCTTGGCAAGAAGGTTGACATATGTTGACATATGTTGACATGATGACGTGATACCACAAGCATTCGGAAATTCGAGGCGCGCTAGACTCACGGCACTGCGCAAGGCTACAGTACGACACACGTTTGGGCTACCAGCCGCCGCGTAGAAACACTGCTCGAGCATTCTCCTTCAACGTAAGAGGGAAGAAGTGCTGTTGTGATTTTCGACCGCCTTCTCTGCTTCTGCAGAAGATGGCAGTCTACAGCCTCGTCCACATCCTCGCCAGCAGCTTCCAATGTTGAGAAACTTCTGCTGACCTGGTGCTGGCACAGACGCCATGCTTTTTCCCCACGATTCCCTCGATGTCACAGCATGTGTGATCAGGGCACGGACCCCCCACCCCAACGGTACCTCCCCTGCCCTGTGGTGTGGTGGTGGGGCTGTGGGTTGTTCTTCACTTCCGCATGGCCGGACAGTTTTAGCGCTTTAGGGATTGGGGCGTTCAAGGTTGTTTGCTTATTTTTGTTCTGGGTTCTTTTGGGGCTTGTTAGAGTTTTTTCGCTTGGCACACTTCTAGATTTGCGTTAGCTTGTTTAGAGTTTTGGGTTTTAGGATTTTGGATGGTTCTAGGGCCAGGGCTTTCGGCTCTCACATTTGCACCGGCGGGCGAGGCCTAGTTTGTACACTTCTCGATTTGTGTGTGTGGGGGCATGCCATTACGGGGGGTGTGGTGAACTGGCGAACCGCGAGGCGAGATCGTTACATGGCTGCTTCATGCTCGTCCCCAGTGAGGAGTCCTCCGATTATTGCCCCCATGACCTCTTGCAAGTCTGTTGAAGGCTGGCCTTCAAGGTGAAGTGGCGCGGTGCTTTAACCTGCGCTGCAGGGCTGGTTTCATCGCCGAAGACTGTAGCTGTGGTCTGACCAATCAGATCGTCCGGGTGAGGTCGGGCGCCTACCAAATGGTTCTAGATGGTTCAGTCCTGTCCAACTTGTCATTCATTTTGCTACAAGTGTTCTGCTGAGTTCTGCTTCTTACCATATGAACTATACTATTCTTATTATGATATATGAATACATCCGAGCTGCGATTTGCCAACGAAGCTTTGTTCATCACAGGCTTGCCAGCTCCATCATGCTGACTTCAAGCTTGAACGGCAACCCGACACAGAAGCCGGACGTCGCAAGCGACAGCACTCCAACTATAAATATCTACAGCCCTGCTCTGTCCCAGATTGTCCCAGTATGCTCGCCTGGGGCTCGGCTGCACGTAATGACCGAAAGTTGCGGTCAGCACTGTTCTCTCTGTGCCTGTCAACAGCCGGTTCACAAGCACTTCGAGAGAATCTTAGAGACAGGCTGGGAATGGCTGCCTTGAAGGATGGTTTTGCCAGAGGCTTGCGGATTACGTTGCACATGAGCATGGGCCAGCAGCTGATACTCAAATTCTAATAATCTGCTGAACTAGGCTCCCGTGCTGCTCCGCAATATCACCTTCAACTTGCCTGCAACGGATTCATGACATTCCCTTGCTCGCTTGACGCTCGCCCCTGCCTGTACGTCTCCTCGTACTTCTGCCATATTTGGAAATCAGTGGGGTCAATCCGGGCAGCTTCGCGAAAATCCTGGCATCTCTGCACGGGCTTTATCGCTGCTTGTGGTCTTTCCAGACCTCGTAGGCAGCGCGAACATTTCCACCTGGGGGCAGCATTGACAGCGCATGAAACAAGAACCGCCGTGAACATGCGCACATGTGTTGACACATGTTGACATATGCTCACGGTTACCTGAATAAGCAAAAACAGCTTGTCTGTCAAAAACACTGCATGAGGCTTGGTGATGTTTGGTGCTGTCCCAGCACAGGCCAGCAGGACAAACGATGCACACAAGGACATTAAGTTATACTTGATTCAAGCCACTCATGATGAGCACGAGGCTCAAAACATGCACGTCCAAGCGACATCGGTAGGTCCTGGTCCTGGATATTAGATGGTTTACGTGTACTTGTCATGTTGTATTAACATTTCTGTTGGTTTCTTGTCAGCGCGTGCTCTGCACTTTGAGCACAGCAGGTGGGTCACACTGTCCGTAGGGAAGTGACTTGATGCATGTGTACTTGACTATCAAATTCAAGATGCCCATGTGCCAAAGGCATCCCCCGGCCGGCTTTGTCTTACACACTGCCAATTCATGCACTTCATTTCCATGACACCGTATACAGGAAAGGTACGAACATTGATGTGGTTTTGTTGTTGTTGCCCCTCTTGCCCACTGCTTGTACTGCTTCCGGAAACAACGCACACACACACACACACTTCGCATTCAGGCCAACGACGTACAGGCATTCCGTACCTAGCCTGCTGGTCATCAGGTTCCTATCCATGATGCGGGCTTCACGTTGCGAGCTTACCAGATGTCCTGTGGCACAACTGCTTATGCTTTCAACAGGACAAAGCCTCTAGTCCCCGGCATTTCGACTTTGCAGCACGACTCTTCACCTTCGGCTTCTTAGACTGATGCCCATGATGTGCTGATGTTTTTCGAGCGTGCCGCACCCACGAACGCAAATACGGGCTGCAGCATGCCGCATGCCTGCTCTACGGCAGCGGGACGTGGATGCGTATACGGGGGACGTTGCTCAACCTCTATGGCAATCTAGGGCAAAAAGCAACAGATTGCTAACCCTGCTTGCCCCAGTGCCCACAGGGCTGGTGAGAGTCTGGCCATGCAGGTGGCCCAATCCGAGTTGGTAGAAGTTCGAGGCAGATGCCTGCAGTTCCATGGCTCTCACTACCGCAAACATCCTCAAGCCACATGGCCAGCACCTTGCCATAACTGAATTCTCAGCTGTCGTTTAAAGACTGCAGGCCTCCATGTCGGCATCAATGCATGCGCGGCAGGCTATGCCCCGGTTGAAGCATCCGTGCCGTTCGTTCTGTTGTGTACCAACTATACGGAACACAAGCTATGTCAACAAGCAAATTTGCATGCTCTAGAAGACTTGGCTTGCAGATGGCATCGGTTTATGCCATGATGGGCAATCGCTGCTTTCTACCATGGTCTTGAATCTTGAATGCACATCATGGAGGTGGCTGGGAACAGGTTCGAAGCCTTCCAAACAGCATCCAATGTCACAGGTCGTTGCCTTTGTGGTGCGAGTCCAGGTCCCGGTCTAGAAGGTCATCCAACTCGTCTCGGCCTCCGGGTGTGCTTGCCTCTCCGTGAAAAATAAAAGAAACGCACACAGAACCCAAATCAATCGAAGGCCTTCCCAAGAAAAGCCCAAGTCCTTGGTCACCATGCAGGTGTCTGTGAAAGGCCTATTGACCATTCCGCAAAACTCTGCAGCCCTTTCGGCCCGAACAGTTGCTAGTAGGCT